CATAAAACTAAATCCTGAAGCACTTTTTTGAGCAGTAGCAACAAAAAACTGATTTTGAGGAAAAAACACCTTAAAATGTTGAGATTTTCCCTGTGAGTTAGCAAAGTTTGGTTTATATTAGGACATCAAAAATTCCTCATTAAAAGGACATAAACCAAATATTTATGTATTATTGTAACCAACAAGACAAATTAAGTCATATATATGGATTTAATTATGATATCAGAATGATCCAGGTATCAAAATGTAGCTTTTAAAGTCAAGAATATGAAAATGTAATTAGGTCATTTTGACCAAAATTGACTTAATCCTCGTTTTGATATGATGGGTCACAGATGTTAATGAAGGCGTGTCAGGGGAGGAGTCTTACCTGCGCTCAGGTCCACGTTAATTGTGATGGACTAAAGAAATGTGCGTGGATTCAGGCGTACACACAGTTTGATACATCTGGATGTTTTTGTGCGCACGCCGTTTTCTGGATTTGTCAGGTTTCAGTAAGAAATCCACACAAGTCTTTGTACATGAGGCCCCTGGAGAAGTATAAATAACACTGTTAATAAAGCTGATGATAAAGTTGAATAAAAATCTAAGTCTGATGAAGATAAATTAAATATCTGACAGTGATCATTACACAGTGTGGCTCTAATTCTTCACTTCACCATCTGTGTTACAGTTTCACGTCTCCAAAATGAGCGTACACATGGGTCAGAGCTGTGAGGCACCGCACGTTTTCACGTCAAGTTAGGGTTTTATAAATCATAACCTTTGAGTGGAAAGTTGTGTTCACAAGCGTAATAAATGCCTCCTCAGGTCCAGTCCTGGCCCACTGGGTCCTGTCTTTATGGGTGCATGGTGGAGTCGACTGTTGGAGACGGTATGTGCTGTAAGATGAATGTGTCTCTGATGAGTGCAGGTGAACTGTTTGAGTAGAACTCAGCCAGTATTGTGTTTGTTGTGCTGTGATTCATGGAGAGGGAGGAGAGTTCAGAGAAGGCAGGTTTAAACACAAGAGGATGAGCGTTAGAGGAGGGCAGGGCTCAGGAGTAGAGATGTGACCTTCGTGAACGATCCGAATCTTTTGAACGGCTCTTTACAACGAACGATAGGAGCCGAATCGCGGGTAGTAACGAACCATTTGTAGTTTTATTTCCTTTATTCCTCATATAATCTTTATTTTTTCACGATGAAAGGGGGAAGGGGGTTTCCTGCTTGACAAACACGTGGTTCCACCCACATGATGGGATTACGTCATTACGTAAGGCTACGTGATGACGTAATACGTTCAAAATCGAACGGCTCTATGAAACAAACGGCTCCCCAAGATCCGGATCCCTTCAAAGAGCCATTTGTCCCGTCTCTAGTCAGGAAGTTGGTTGGTCCATTTTCTGGGGAGCTAACTGGACCAGTATCCCCCCTCAGTGCTGTGAGGGATAAGGGGTCACGTTTAGGCTGTAGAAATGACTGGAACTCAATGCAAAGTCTCCATGAGGATAGAAGAACAAATGTGTTTGTGTGTGAGCAGGTCCACTGGATGAAGACGGTCAGCCTCATGGTTTCTGCACAGTGACCTACTCATCCAGTGACCGTTTTGAAGGACACTTCAGCCACGGAGAGAAGAACGGAAAGGGCAAGCTCTTCTTCTTTGATGGAAGGTGAGTTAACGAGGCATCGATGCTCCATTATTATTACTAAACTACTAAGAATTAAACACTGGGTCTCATGCAAGAACATGTTCATATTCTTATCCTAAATTTCTCTTACTTTTGTTCGTACAAAGGGTTCGTACGAACATGTCACATCAGACTCAACAAACTCTTCTATCTTCAGGAAAAGTGTGTAAATGAGCTGTGTAAACTTGATGAATGCGTATCCAGATGCTCGTGCACGAGGAGAGATTAGCATAATTACCACCCCAAAAACACCATATAAGGCTAAACTTCCTGCCCTACCAGGAAGTGTTTGTTCATGAAAACGACAGTAAAAGTAAAAAGAAGAACTTCACAAATTCAGAGATTGAAGTCCTCCTGTCAGAGATCCAGAAAAGAAAATCAGTTTTTTTAAAGGAGCTGCTAAAGCCGAGGGATGAAATGACGACTGCTGTTAATGTTGTGTTTCCCGTGGGTCGTATAGTCACAGAAATAAAAATCTAAATTCTTTTCATCTCTCTGTAGTCCTGCTCCGGTTTTCCCTTGGTCAAATATTTTTTAATTCAAGTGTAAACGACTGTGTTAAATAGTTTTTATTTATTCAGAATAAGAGCCACAGCCAGTAACATCTCCCTTGTCATTGCAAGTGGTGTCAGATGCGGTTCTGAAAAAAGGATTTTAAAATGTCTCTAAAATATGTCTGGTACTTTGTGGAAAATAGCATATTTGATGTGCGGAATAAATCTAAAAAAATAAGTTATTCAAACATAATAGCTTATTGTCAACATAATTATGGAGTGTGATTTATTTTCAACTCAAAATATCTTCAAACTAATGAAATATAAATTTATTAATGAAGAAAGTCTCTCTGGATAACAGCAGATTGACTGCAGGTAAAATATACCACAGTTCTGGACCACACATGAATTTTATTCATATCTGAAAAAAAAATCCTACAAAACATCTCTCCGACGTTTTCTTCCTCTTATCCAGGGTCAGGTCCCGGGG